CCACTATGCACAAACTGGGTTTTTTTAAAACATTATGATATATTATTTCTTAGACAAAGTAATTTAAAACGGGTCTTGTTGATAAGTGGAAACCTTGGTTTGAAATCAAGTTGTATTTCTTAATTAAATTAGAGTCATTTTCAAACCCGATTAAATATCTTTTCAAAACATGGTTAGTCAAAACTTTTTCTTAATTAAAACAATGAAAGTAATGGATTCTTGGAGTCTAGCATTCCTTGGATCCTTGGACAATCACTTTCAAGGCGCACGCCTTGGGTTGTGTTTGTCCCGTCTTTCATTTCTAAAAATACTTAACTCTTTTCAAAGCCTTTAATCCATCCAAACTCTAATTCGATTAAAATTTTGAACCTAATTAAATCACTCCTCAAAGTTGGCTAAGCAGACTATATTTTTCTCAATTAAACAATGGAGATATTGAACTCTTGAGGTCTAACACTTCTTGGGTTCTCTAAATATTTTTGGGTTCTTATATGGGGTATATAAGAAAGCGCTTTTAAAAAGCGTTGCTATAGGTATAATTAGAATAAGTTTAAAATTACCCACCAGAATTTTTAAAAGAAACAAAAAATATTTCACAATTTTATAACAAATTTATTAAATCATTAAACTAACTACCAACTATTAGAACCACTACGCCAGAATTGACTTTTAGCACCGCATACAAAGACATCGCTGCTAAAGAGTCATTAAAAAAAATAGCATACCTTAGACAACGCTTTTTGAAAAGCGCTGCTAAAGGGGGGCCCTAAGAAAGCGCTTTATTAAAAGCGCTGCTAAATATATGCCCTAAGAAAGCGCTTTTGTAAAGCGCTGCTAAAGGGGGGCCATAAGAAAGCGCTTTTTTGAAGCGTTGATGTAGGTCTAACCTACGAGAGCGCTTTTTCTATAAGCGCTGCTATAGGTATAATTAGAATAAATTTAAAATTACCCACCAGAATTTTTAAAAGAAACAAAAAATATTTCACAATTTTATAACAAATTTATTAAATCATTAAACTAACTACCAACTATTTCTCTAATATAGAAGTTTTCATACCTTGTTCATTTTTATAAAAAAATACATAAAAGAAAAAATATGATGTGTTTAGTTCACAATATATTAGTTTCCCAAACATTTCCGACCGTCTAAACTTCTTCCATTTTCAACCTTCAAACTTCCATCAAACCTTCACCATATCTTCAATCCTCACCATCCTTTCAACCTCCATGGCGCACGCCTTGGGTGTGATCCTTTTGATCTTGCATTTATAAAATACACAATGCGTCAAAATACGCTAATCATATTCAAATCACTTTCCTAATCAAATTGTGAAAGAACTGAGTTCTTGGAGTCTCACATTCCTTGAATTCTTGAAGTAACTGCTCTTGGGGCGTACACTTTAGGTTGTGGGTTACTAAACCTTTTGTCCCTAAAAATACTTGCCTTAATTATTTGGGAGGAAATTCCATTGGAGTCTAGCATTCCATATGGTACTTTCACCGTCCATCAAACACAAATTTCATAGTTAATTGAATGAAAAAGCTATTTTTGGAATCTAGCATTGTAATAATACACCGATTAATTGGTTGCGAGGTTGGCGTCTCGTTTATCGAATAATCGTCATTCTCCCTCAAAATACTCAACAAATTAAATGTCGTTCTTCCTTGCCCCTATGCGACTGAAACCCTAAAACCTATTCAAATATATTATCTTTTCCAAACCAAAACATCAAACACGAAAAACTCTCTTTTCTCGCCACGTGCGATCGAAACTTCTCAAAACACTAATTCCTCGCCCCTGTGTGATCCACAACTCAAACACCTTTACCAAAGAACATTGTTTAGTCCATTCTTCCGCACATATAAACTTGTGCTTCAGCCTCCCCTAGTGAGCAGACAAGCCAACGTTTAACAGTTAGAATGCGACCTAAACATTCGTTCGTTTACAAACCAACCAACCATAGTTGACTGAACTACAGACACTCTGATTTCTCATTTTTTAATGAGAATACGTAGGCATAGGGTTGCGAGATCCTAACGAGCTACCTTTTTTTCTTCTACTTTCCCTCCATCTCCCGTAGTCCCACGAACTACGATGCTCTGACTTTCCAATTGCACGAGGGATTACGTAGGCACAAAGGCCCCAATCCTTGACGAGCACCCTAGTATATAAAACCACCCATTTCCCCTAATAAGCAAATCCTTAGAAGATAATAAACAAGGGTAACTAACTTTTCTCTCGAATTGAATCAAGAGGTTCCCGTTTAATACAACAGACGTAGAGGGTGCTAATACATCCCCTTTGCGTAATCGTCTCTCGAACCTAGAATTTGATTGCGATGACTATGTTCTTATCTCTTTAAAGGTTTTATCGATATTTTCCGATTTCTTCCTTGGAATGAATAAAGTTCGGTGGCAAATCTATTCGAAAGTTTTTTCGCGTTCATTGTGAAGATCGTATTTTTTGAGGTACAAAATTATTGTCCTTTAAGATTCATGTGTTCATTATTGTCCCAGAAGCCCCTTCTTCCCTAGATGCCTATAAGGTTTCCTTGAAGACCCCTCAGACATTACATTGTTTTCTTTATATGTAGATCAAATGCGACTAGGCATGCGTGGGAATGAGAGGTAATGTAAATATTTTTATTAATATTTTAAATATTTGTGTTATAGTATTAGAACCACTACGCCAGAATTGACTTTTAGCAGCGCATACAAAGACATCGCTGCTAAAGAGTCATTAAAAAAAATAGCATACCTTAGACAACGCTTTTTGAAAAGCGCTACTAAAGGGGGCCCCTAAGAAAGCGCTTTATTAAAAGCGTTGCTAAATGTGTGCCCTAAGAAAGCACTTTTGTAAAGCGCTGCTAAAGGGGGGCCATAAGAAAGCGCTTTTTTGAAGCGCTGCTGTAGGTCTAACCTACGAGAGCGCTTTTTCTATAAGCGCTGCTATATGGGGTATATAAGAAAGCGCTTTTAAAAAGCGCTGCTATAGGTATAATTAGAATAAATTTAAAATTACCCACCAGAATTTTTAAAAGAAACAAAAAATATTTCACAATTTTATAACAAATTTATTAAATCATTAAACTAACTACCAACTATTTCTCTAATATAGAAGTTTTCATACCTTGCTCATTTTTATAAAAAATACATAAAAGAAAAAAATATGATGTGTTTAGTTCACAATATATTAGTTTCCCAAACATTTCCGACCGTCTAAACTTCTTCCATTTTCAACCTTCAAACTTCCATCAAACCTTCACCATATCTTCAATCCTCACCATCCTTTCAACCTCCATGGACGAACCTCCAACAAGCTCTTCCTCTCCGAAAAACCCTTTTCCACGAAACCCACCAAACACCAAACAAAATCCATATGAATCCCCACCGTAAACCCACTCCAAGCCACCGAGAATCAAAACCCCCAAATCAATCTAACAGAACAGAAAAGAAAGTCGAAAAACAAGCGATTGAAGTAGAGAAGCAAAAACAGATTTGCTCTGTTTTGTTTCCCAAGCGTTATCACTCAACAACGAAGCTCATGTCGGTTGTCGCACACTCTCGCACGTGCGACCGCCCTTGGCCTCACTCACCCCGCCATCATCGAAACCCCTAAGGTCAATTTCCACTCCCTCGTTAATATGTTCATTTCATGTTTTCAATTTTTATTTCTATTGCTGTTTTGAAGTTGATTATTGTGTCTGATTGAATTTGGAATGATTTTATATGAGTGTGTTTTTTTGTGTGTGATACTGAGAATGCCTTTTTTGTGTTTGTGAAAATGCCTGAAAGATCTCTTTTTCTGCCACGGATGTTGATGTGACGGAATGGAAAGGAGATATACTGGCAGTGGGTGTTACTGAGAAAGATCTAACAAGGGATTCAAAATCAAGATTTGAGAATCCATTTGAATTTACAGATTGAGAATGAGTATGGACCTGTGGAATGGGAGATTGGTGCTCTTCGAAAGGCTTACACAAGTTGGGCTGCTCAAATGGCGATAGGTCTAGACACCGGTGTACCTTGGGATATGTGCAAGCAAGAAGACGCCCCTGATCCTGTTGTAAGATTTTCTTTCGTAATCAGGATTATCTGTATTCACGCATTTGGAAAATCATAGTCGTTTGATCAAGATTAGATGATATGAAAACGAGGATTTTAATATTATTTATCGACTATGTTGTAGATTAACACTTGCAATGGATATTATTATGAAAACTTCACTCCCAATGAGAACAATAAACCGAAAATGTGGACTGAGAATTGGTCTTGTTGGTAACTCATTCTCATTCGAATGCTACCATTAACTTAAAGATAGAAGCATTTCATTTGAGATCAAATGTTTAATTTTTTGTTACCGATTCTATAGGTACACCGATTTTGGTAGCGGTATATCTCATAGACCGATTGAAGATTTGGCATACTCAGTTGCTAGATTCATACAAAATTGCATCTCCTTTGTTAACTACTATATGGTATATGTTACTTCTAAGTTTATGTTATAGAAACTTTGGTTTTTGTCTGATATATTATCTTTGAATGCAGTACCATGGAGGAACTACTTTTGGTCGAACATCGAGTGGTCTTTTCATTGCAACAAGCTATGATTATGATGCTCCTATTGACGAATATGGTACGCGTTATGGTTTGAATTGTTTGCATGCATGTTTTGAATTATAACAGTTAGAAGCATTTTAAAGTGTTTCAAAATGTTAGGACTTGTGAATGAACCAAAATGGGGACATTTGAGAGACCTACATAAAGCGATAAAACAGTGTGACCGGCTTTGATTGTTGTGGATCCTACGGTCACATATTTCGGGAAAAACCTCGAGGTAAATTCTATTATCTAGTTCATGATAAAATTAAGGTTCAAAATTGTTACTGTGTTAAAGATTTGTTTTGTCAATTTGATCTTAGGCACATGTGTACTACATAAGTAGTAGTGTTTGTGCTGCATTTCTTGCAAATTATGACACGAAATCGGCGGCCACGGTTATGTTTAGAAATAGCCATCATGACCTTCCACCTTGGTCTGTCAGCATTCTTCCTGATTGCAAAACCGAAGTTTTCAACACCGCAAAGGTAACACAAGATAACCAAATCTGTTGGATAAATTTTGTTTAGTAAAGGTATAATTGATGGACAAGCCGGACTCTGATGCCAAAATGAAGGTTGGTGTAAAGAGCTCCCAAAAAGCGATGATTCCGACAAACATTACATTTGATTGGAAATCATACACCGAAGATCCCGCCTTCTCTAGTGAAGACGATCCTGTCACAGCAGAAGCACTTTGGGAGCAGATCAACATCACTCGCGATTCTTCAGATTATTTGTGGTATTTGACAGAGTAAGAATTTTCAACTTTCTTAACTTCTCAACACATTAAAAAAATTAGAATATCAATTAGTGTCTTGATGTTAATTCTATCTTAAACGATTTTCAGTGTCAACATTAGTCCTATTGAAAGTTTTATAAAGAATGGTCCGTCTCCTATTTTTACCGCAAACTCAACAGGTCATGTTCTACTTGTTTTTGTTAATGGACAACTTTCAGGTCAGTATGCTTTTTCTTCTTGGAAATTTTTTCATGATAAATTTCATTTTTATATATTTTAAATGAACAATATGTTATATGAATGTAGGAACTGTATATGGAGGATTGGATATATTTTAAATGAACAATATGTTATATGATAAATTTCATTTTTATATGAATGTAAGAACCGATATATTTCATGTTCTACTTGTTTTTGTTAATGAACAATATTTTAACTTTTTTCTGCATTCAAATTAAAACCAAAATGTTGGCTTGCACTTTGAAACATGGAATGTTGGAGTGTTAGGACTTGTATAATATTAGAACTCAATTATTTGTCATATAACCTTTTAGTAGATGAAAAATATTAGAACTCGATTATTTGTTATATAACCTTTTAGTACATCTGTTATAAAAATATTAGTAGATTGATTGGATCTAATCCATCTATTTAAAGTTAAAGATAAATATAACTCATTCAACATATTTTAAAAATTTAATAAATTAGTTTAATTATGATGGATAAGTTTTTTTTCTTGAGTGCTTTTAAGGTTTTGATATTTAATTATTATAAGTATATAACCTTTTAGTAACTGATATTGGACCTGAATTGGAGAAAAAGCTCAAGTATGCTGAAGATGTTTCTTCTGGAATAATTTTTGGATGGGAGCTTGTAAACTCTCCTGCTAATGTTCTCACTCCAAGTTCATATGCCACTTAAAATTGTATTTTACACGTGTGAATAATACATATATATACATATGTGTCAGTGCTTCTCTAAAACTTGATCTGAACTTGGTGATGTTTTTTTTTTCCAGCTGCGTTGGCAGAAGAAGCATCTAAGGTTGCTTCTACCTACAGTGACGTTTTCAAGACCAATATATGGAAGAAATATTTCGGGAAGTTGTATCTATTTGTAAAGTTATGAATTACAATGTATACTTTAGTTATTGTGTATTTGTGATGTTTTAATTAAGAAAACGATCAGTTATGTTGTAATTAAGGAAACGATCAGCTATTTGTAAAGTTATTAATTTTGACTGTATTTGTGATGTTGTAATTCGGAGGATCGGATTGTGTTGTAATATATTTAAGCAGGTTTATGTGTATTAAAATAATTATGAGCAAAGTGATGAATTACAATGTATACTTTAGTTATTGTGTATACTGCAAAGTGATGCATGCACATAAATAAGGCCAAAGTGTTGAATTAAAGGCCTGACTTATAAGCAGAGAATGTAATTGTTATAAGCAGGTTTATCGAAAAATATATAAAAAATGTGATTATTTAAAAAAAAAATTTTAAAAATTGTGAAGAATAGACAACGCTTTTAAAAAAAGCACTGCTAAAGGTTGGAAAAGGGGGGGTCTATGAAAGCGTTGCTAAAGGGGGTCTAAGACAGCGCTTTTAAAAGCGCTGCTAAAGGGGGGAGGGAAAAGCACTGATATAGGGTTGAAAAAGCGCTGCTAAAAGCGTTGAAGAAGGGAGGGGAAGGGGGAATAGGCAGCGCTTTTAAAGCGCTGCTAAAGGGGGGAGGGAAAGGCGCTGCTAAAAGCGTTGCTGAAGGAGAGGGAAGGGGGAATAGGCAGCGCTTTTTAAGCGCTGCTATAGGGTGAAGAAAGCGCTGCTAAAAGCGTTGCTGAAGGGATCCTTTAGTAGCGCTTTTTATTTAAAAAAAGCGCTGCCTTTACCTTTAGCAGCGCCACTTTTGGCAGCGCTTTTAAGCTCTGCTAAAAGCCAAAAAAAGCGCTGCTAAAGGTCTTTTTTGGCATAGTGAACTATCTGACAATGTATTTATTTTTTTACAGTACATTGATACATTAAAATGTATCATCCAAGGTAGGAAGGTTGTAAAGTTGGCACAACCTGATGAACCATGGTTTAAGAATGTCATGCAATTATCTAGATTGCAGAATTTAAGCATGATTGGATATGGTTATATTAACCATGACTTATTGTTTTCTTTTGTGAAGACATGACATGTAGACACGTCGTCATTTCATCTTCTGATTGGTGAGATGTTCATCACACATGATGATGTATCACGCCTGCTACATCTTTGGATCCGAAAAAATATTAAACTACTCCAAAATCAGTAAACCTTAAGCATTAAACATGAGGGTGACTTATTTGAGAGTTGAATTGAAATAGGTATAGATGTCCAACAAAAATCAAAAATCAAAATAATTTGTTAGTTTATTTTAGAAAAATATCTTTATATCTGTGAATAAGTTTTATTAAAATAAAAAAAAACATTATCTTAAAATATAAATTTAGATATTGAATATCAAGTATTTAGTTAAAATATATATTTTTGATAAAAAGAAATAATATTTTATAATGTAATTTATAGTAATTATCTTATACATTTAAGAAATGAATACTTAATCTATATATTAAACAAAAATATTATGTTTTTATGAAATAATAAAGATATATATTCATAAAATGTCTAATGTCTTGTTAATAAATTTGGTCTACCTAGTTTTTCATTTGGCTACATTATCACAATGTGTCAAAGAAAACTAGAAAAGAAATTTTATAGTGATCTAAAAGAACTTTTTTTTTTAAGTTATGAATAAGCTGTGTAGGTGTTGTGGCACCTAATTTTCCATCTCTTAGTACATGTGTATTATTACTTTGTCCAATATAGTAACATGAACGTTTCTGATTTATTTTTGTATTGAAATACAAGAAAGTGATAGGTATTAATATTCGTGTGGAAATATAGTCGTTGATTACTATATATGGAACTTTTCAAGACTAAAACTAAGAGTTAAATTGAACCTATATTAATAGTTGAATGTACATAAATAACAAAATCTTCCAAGAGACTTGTCAGGTGAGTTAATCACCATCCAACCTGTCCACACGCAACACTGTTGTTCGAATAACATAGGTAGGTAGATACCCCTTCAAAATTTATGAAACTTTAATACTTTCTTCTCACTAGTAACTTTGAATTTAATCAATAAACCAATGGAATTCAAAGGTATTAACTTGATCAACTTTAACTTGACAACAACTCTTTTAATGATAATTAATGTTGTCTTTTTATACTTTAATATTTTCTTAAATGTCGCGAGAAAACTTTTTACCTTAAAAGTATTACTCCCTACATTCTGCTAATAAAAGATTTATTTGACCATTACGCATTCTATTTAGAAAAAAAAAAATGATATTTTTATAACAATTATCATGGTCAAGTATTGAGAATGATAAAAATAATAGGTAAAATATATTTTTTTAGGTCTCTTAATTATATCCTCGGATTTATTTGGGTTTTTAATTTTTTTTTGTGTCACTTTAGGTCTTTTAATCTTCATCGTTTCATTTGTGTATCTTCGTTTTCGTTTTTATTGTATATCTTCTTTTTCATTTTTGTTTTTATCCTGTTCACATCATCTGCAATGTTTCATCTCCGTTTACTTCACCTGCATCATTTTCGTCTTCCTTAGCATCGTACTCCTCATCTAGGTTTTCTTCGAAGCATAAAGTCCGACCAATGTTCTTCATTTCTGAAGTAGAATAACTGTGAAAGTTGTGAATTCAGTGCAGACACCAACTCGTGATGGGTACCAAAATGTCATTGTGGGAACAAAGCTATGATTCGTAGGGCAACAACTAATAAAAACTTTGGTAATTTTTATTTGGGTTGTCCAAATTTTAAGGTAAGCCCTAATTTCAGTTTGATTTATGTCCAAATGTGATAAACCCGTTTTGATACATATACGCAATTTTCAAGGATCCTTGCAAAGAGGGTGTGATTTTTTCAATTGGTTCCGTGAGAATTTGAGAGATGAGAAGGGGAAATTTATGACGAATAAGTTGGAAAGCATAACATAGGAAATTGATGATGCAAAAAAGGAGTTCTAAAAAGTCAGGGTGGAAAATGAAGAATTAGGGAAAGTTGTGATGGAACTTTAAACTCTAGTGAACAAGATCTTGAAGTGGAAAAAATCATGGAATATTAAGTTTCTTGTAATCTTATGTGCATTGCTATTTAGGATGTTTTAGGAGTATGCACCAGTTTGTTTGTATGACTTAGGATGTATCAGTTTGTGTTTGTTAGCAATATCAGTTTGTATGGATGAGTTGGTATGTAGCACATTGTGTCATTTTAATATGAGTTGTTTTTTTGGCAGAATATTGTTTGTAACAGTCCATAAAGAAATAAATTTACAATACCAGTTCACATAACATGAATGCCAAAATGATTTTCATAACACATAAATAAATTGATTTGCATAACACACTACATAATTCCAAAATGATTCTAAAATGATTCCAAAATGACATTGACATGTTCACAAGACATAACAGAGTTCAACAAAGGTTCTAAACTGACATTGACATGTTACATAGACATGTTCAAGATGCATTACATAATACCAAAAGTGATTCAAAATATATTAACTAGACAATAGCTAAATAACACTAGATGTTCTTCTTAGGTGTGATTTTCTTAGTTTGAGTAGACCTCCTGGTTGTTGGGCCAACTATATTCTTGGTTGCAAATAATCTTGTTGTTGATCCTAGGGGACACAAATGGTCTTCTTACACCTAACTCATGTGTCTTGCCATTTCCTTGAGTTACGCTGCCTCGAGTTTGAGTTTCTTGAGTTGCACTTCCTTGAGTAGCTGACACTACTACGGAAAACATATACAACAACAGTTAGAAAATGGATAACATCATGCATGACCTGTGCTATTACATAGAGTGTGGTTGTATATATGCTACTTACAATTACGGTCTTATGATCGTTGTAGAAAACCTGAAAGCGCGTTATATATGATCACGGTTGCTATAACTAACTATTGTGGTATATGCATTTAGGTAAATAATATTTCATCAGGATTAATATAAATAACCGTTGTTGAAAATACCCAGAGTTTATTATATAATATGTAGATCGAACAAAACCAAAGAGTTCTAAAACAAGAACAAATAAACAGAGATCAGGGTAAGGGGGTTGGTTACGCAATAGGAAGGTGTTAGCACCCAAAACGTCTATAGTACTCTATAGGAGCCCTTTGAAATATTTATTCTTTTTGACTTGAAAAATGTTTGTTTAAAAAGAAGATTGAGGAGATGAGAAGAGAATTATTTTTTAGATTTTTTGTGTTTGAAGAGACT